TCCGCTGCCCGGCCTTGAAGGCCCACCGCCCGAACGAGAGGATTAGATCCTCCCCGACCTTTGTTCCCCGGGCTGCTGTGAGGAAGGCTGAGCCCGAGTCGCTGTCTTTGAAGACCGCTTGCGCCAATTCGCTCGGGTTACCGAGCTGAGCCTTCAGCTGTTTGGCCTCCTCGATTGCCCGATGGGCAACCTTCTCCGCCAGGGCCCGGTCCTCGTCGCCCTTTTTTAAGGCCTTTTGAGCCTTCTCGAGCTCGGCTTGGAGCTCTTTAACCTCCAGAAGGCGACGGGCGGCCGTCTTCTTATGGTGGTCGGCTTCCTCGGCCAGCATGGCCCGACCCTGTAATAATTGGGCCGCTCAGGAGATCTGCAAAAACAAAGACAGTCGGGGTTAGCCCGGTCGAAGACACTTGCACAAAAAGATGAATAGCTAAAGAAGGCTTACCTCGGCCAGATCGTAGCCGATCCTCTCGGCCACTTGGGTCGGGGTCATCTTCCCCATATCCTCCTTAGCTGGCCCGGCGTTGCCGATCCGGGCCAGTATGGACGGTATGGCCCCTTCTCGCCCGACCGAAGGGCTCGGGCTGCGTTGTTCACGGCGGCGTTTCATGCCGCCCACCTCCCTCACGCCCTGCTCGGGCACTTTCTCTTTTCCCCGGGCGACTTCCACCCGGGTGATCAGGACGTCGAAGGGCTCGACGATAAAGCCCTCGCCCGTCGTCACGGTCGAGGTACTTAGTGGTCGGGCCGAGGGAATCTCCTTTTCCCCGGCGGGCTTCGCCTTCGCCTTCTTCTTGCCACCAAGGGAGATCTTGGCGGGCGGGGGAAGGGGGGCATCTTCGTCACCGAACTCTGCCATAGCTGCAAACAAAGAAATCGAGTTAGTGTGATCAATGCATAAAGTTAAGTCGGGAGGGTTAGCTCGAGTTAAAACCTTTCTTCGTTCGCCTCGATGGTTTGGCGACCGTCACGCCCATCGGCACGGGCAGATATTTCTCCTGTAGCTCGTATGTAGGGGGCGGGAGTTTAGCCGCCTCGAGACTCTCAGCCATTCGGAAGATTGTATACTCGTCCAGCTCGCTTGAGATCCGACTGACCGTCTCCCTGAGCGCTTGCGTCTCGTCCGGCACCACTTGTTTCCGAAAGTGGGTGCTCCAAGCGCGGTCAACCGGGAGAATCCAGGGGTCGTATTTAGGGAGAAAATCCTGTTCTTCCACCCCCTGTTGTTCCCGGGCAGGCCTCTGATTGCGCACATGTCGGCTCGGGACTGTAGCATCAAGAACCCGCCCCCGTAGCTGCCCGGGAGAACTTTGACTTGGTAGATGAAGTTGAACAGCTCCATCGTGCAGGCGGCTTCATGCCGAGCGCATATCTGTGGAAAGCAGGCGATAATCCGGTGCGCATTGGGGAAAATCTGGGCTGGGACGACCCGGTAGTAGGCCAAGAAGGCGTTCAGGAGGGGGGTGAAGGGAATGGCGATCGGGGCCATCAGGGAGTCGTAATGCATCCCGATCCATTTGCTCCGATGCCGATCGATAACATTCCCTAACTTCCGGCTCGTGTCGAATTCCACCCGACCTACGAGCCTTTCAGCAATCCTAGCCGCCTCGCCTGTGGTCAATCGGCTCATTTGTTGTTCGACATTCTCGCTGTTCAAGAATTCGAACTCCGTTGCGGCTGGTGCGGCCGGCCCGGCCGTGTTTTCCTCGGCTTGCTCGGGGGTGTTTTCCCGGTCGCTTCTTCGAGCAACGGCTCCCGGGTGGTCCCCAACCACCCGGGTTGGCGTGTCCTTAGCACCTTCGATCGGTGAACCCCGTCTGCCTGACGAGGGTCCTTCTTCCTCTTCTCCGGAGCTCCCCGATCCGCTTGAGCTGGAACTCGATGACCCGGAGGAGCTTGACGCGTCGTTTTGTTCGGAAGCCCGCTCGGGGGCTGGCTCCGGTCGGTGAATGGCCTCGGGAGAGTAGGACATGATGTCCACTTCCTCGTCGCTGAGGTACTCGACCTCCTCGTCGTAGTCCGCGATCGAGGCATTTTGGCTGTCAGAATCCGTCATTTCGATCTACCTAAAGGTCGGTCGGGGTTAGTAAAGGACTTGAGACGTCCGGGACAGTTAGTTGACCTAACGATTCTACTTATAAATGAAAGCGTAAAGTAAAAGAAGGGTTGAGAACTTACCGAATGGAAGAACTTTGCGAATGAAAGCTTGAAGTCTTGTAGCTCGACTGCCTCGCTAAGGTGCTCTGCTCGGGGCTCTCTGAGGGTACCGACTGAAGCAAAAGAGTGAGGAAAGTTCAAATGAGGGCCTCAAGGGCCTATTTATAGGAGAGCATTTAGGCGGGAAAGTCGTCCACTTGCGCGACACGACCAGTGCTGATTCCGAGGCAACGGTTGCAGTCGCAGAGGCCGGCAGTGGCCGACACGTGGCGGAGAAGGGAATGACAGCTGGCCGGTCGGTTTAGCGGCCGGCGGTTGGGCTTCTTCATCCCGGCCCATTTTTTCCCGGACGATCAAAAAGGCCCGGGCTGGGGGGCTCTTGGTAGGGAATATCCCGACCGACATAGCTTCACCACAACCGAGAGGCCTTTGTTTTTTTCTCTTTGTCTTTTCAGGTAACAGGTCGGGCTCCGTGAGAAGAACCCGGTCGGGGCCCACCCGGGAGTTGCCCGATCGGCGGTGTCGACCGCCGAACGGTAGCCCTTTGGCGAGAGAGCTGACGAAAGACACGTGGCGATCCTCTACACGGGCACCCGGGAGGATGACACGTGGTGGCTACGTGGAGGACATGCCGAACGGCTGGAATCCTGTCCCCGGCATAGCGGCTATAAATACCCACAGTAGCTACAGTGTAGGGGACTTTTGGATGATCGATAGGTTGCTGTTAGAGAATCCCGACCGCAGTCAGTCGGCACTCAGAGCAACCAAGTAGATTGTACTTAGGGCCTTTACCGTGATCAATAAAGATATTTACTTGCTTTAATTGGTCTCGTGTTGTTATATATTGCTTACGTATAATTAGCAGTATCAATATATATATATATAGGGTCAGGTTCCTATGAGAACAGGTCTTCCCGTGCGGTCAGTGTGACATACACCATTAGGTATGCATAAATTCACCACATAGTGTTCGAAAATACACCATTATGTGTGGTGTATTTTTTTGTTGTGGTGCATTTTTTGGCATTTCATTCTGGTGTATTCTCGAACACTGTATGGTGCATTTATGCATACCTAATAGTGTATGCCGCACTGACCGCACGGGAAGACCTGTTCTCACAGGAACCAATATATATATATATATATATATATATATATATATATAGAATTAGGTTCTGGTGCGGTTAAGGTGCCCAGGTGCGGTTGTGCGGTTTAATCTGGGCCATTCATCTCGCTTAAATCAACGTCTAGGATTACCAAAATTTTTAAAAAAAAAACGCGGTGGCAATTTTGTAATTTTTGCATCTAGGTCAAAGTTAAGGTGGGCAGATCTGTGATTAATCTGCGTGAGGTTTGTGCGTAAGGTGCGTGAGGTTTGTGCTTAATGTGCGTGGGGTTGTGCTTGATGTGAGTAGTTGTTAAAACTTAAAGTCTGTGAGTTAATAATTAAAGTGCGTGAGTTTTGTGCTTAATGTGCGTGAGATTGTGCTTAATGTGCGTGAGTTTTGTATTTAATGTGCGTGAGTTTGTGCTTAATGTCAATAGTTGTTGAAACTTAAAGTCTGTGAGTTAATATTTAAAGTGCGTGTGTTTTGTGCTTAATGTGCGTGACGTTGTGCTTAATGTGTGTGAGTTTTGTACTTAATGTGCGTGACGTTGTGCTTAATGTGTGTGAGTTTTGTACTTAATGTGCGTGAGTTTGTGCTTAAGATCTAACACTTAAGGTGCATGTTTCTATAACTTAATGTGCGTTAGTTTTAGCTTATGCTTCTTTCTTCCAGACACGCGTTTTTTCTTTTTTTTAAAAAAAAAAAGAAAATTTCATTGATTTGAGCCGTTGATCTAAATTTGATCAACAGCTCAGATCTAACCGCACGGGAAGCTATACCCGCACCTGAACCCTTCCCTTTATATATATATATATATATATATATATATATATATATATATATATATATATATATATATATATATATATATATATATATATATATATATATATATACACACACACACACACACACACACACACACACACACACACATATCACTATTTAAATTTGAATATATAAATTTATAAAAATATC